TCTCTCCCTATCCTTACTTTTTTTTTCACCTTTTAAACATATTTTTGTTCATTTTTTGAAATCTTTGTATACTTCAATTTTTTTGTTTTTGTTTTTTTGAAGCTTGAGTCAAACTTATAAACTGTAGCTGTCTATTAGGTTTCACCTTTCCAGTACCTATAATACAGATTTGAATCTCCTTCCTAAAGCCTGCTGCACACAAGAGTAAAATGCTCTCGCAGGGTCATGTGAGCGGAGAATGTGCTTTGATTGGCCACTAGAATATTTCAGCTCAGCCAGCAGTGTTTACCCCCGTGAGGCAGAAAATATCTAACTGGTCAGATATTCACCTCAGCGTCTCTTGAGGTGGAAAACTCATTGAAAATCAGACGCACACAGCGAGCAATCTGCTGAGCAGACTGTCATTGGAGGTCGTTTGCTCAGCAGATTGCTCTCGTGTGCCGCAGGCTTAAGCTGTCTGAGTCTAGGTCACACCATCCTGCATCCGATCAACACAACGACTCCCTCACAATAGAGGCTAACATCTCATCCGGGGATGGAGAGGGGGGTACCCAGAGTAGTTTCTGCTCATTAAATAACAGTAAACAGCTACAGCTTATAAGCTTGACTCCCCCATATTCCAGTTAGAATTGACAAAGCTCCTCAGATGAGAAGTGAAATGTCTTCAAGCAACAAAATAAGTCCAGCTGCTTTCATTTGAACCCTTTTGAATTGTCAGAACTCTACAGACAAATCAAAGCACACACACAATGGACAAAATGAAACTCTACATTTAGAATAATGTAAACTATTCTCTAAATGGTAGTTTGTTTTCAAATGACACACACAATAAACATCACACGAATAAACATTTATAAGAAACAACTGAACAATAATGTGCTTACAGTTTTCTTAATTGTTTACACGTAAATGTTTTCAACATCCCACACAATGACAACAACGTGTTACTGATTTTCTGATTTACACTTAAATTGCAGTTTTAAAGTTAAAATGAAATTCCCATTAATTCCTCACACAATGGTGAAATTCATCTCCGCATTCGACCCATCCATGGTGAGCTGCAGCAGCGGCTCCGCTCGGGAACTATTTGGTAGTTTAACTCCCCCCAATCCAACCCCTTAAAGCTAAGTGTCAAGTAGGGAGGCATTGGGTCACATTGTTAAGGTGTTTGGAATGACTCAACCAGGATTTGAACTCCGATCTCCCAGGGTGGACACTCTACTACTAAGCCACTGAGAAGGGTTGAAAAATGTTTCAACTTTTTTTTTTTTTTATAAAAAACAAACATTTGTCAAAACACTACACACAATTCTTGTTTTCACAAGAAACACCCTATCATTCAAAATTATAGTCAGCATGGCTTTATTCCTGGCAATGGAGAGGAACAACATCATATATAATGCAACACATGATTACCTTATTTTCGCTTTAATGGTGGATTGCATAAAACAAACATGACCTGAAGTCTCGAGGGATCTTGTGATCTCGCGAGTCCAACGAAGACCACAGCGAGGAAGCCGTGCCGCTGCCAAAACTCTCCCAATGTGAAAAGGACCACTTTGAAGTTTGCGAGTAAAACGTTCCGCTGCCGTTTCTCACTGCTGATGTTTCCAGTGTGAAACTGGGGTTAGTCTGCTCAATCCTGACCTAGAGCTTACAGGATGACTGAGTCTTCTGTTGACCCAGTGGAGTTAGAGCGCCTGCAGTCCAAGGTACCATAACTTCGGGTCTTCGTTGACCATCAGGAGGCTCAGATTGAGTCACTAACTACCAAATGTCTGACTCAACAATTCCAGGCCAGTAGCAACATAGAGCTACCCCAGATCAGGCTCCCGGTCAAATGACACAGTATCAGGCACTCCCCGGACGGCCTATTAGCTACACTGAACATGCTCTTTGAGTGTCAGCCATCCCTTTACACCAAGCATCGATCCAGGGTTGCTCTCATCACATCCCTACTCATCGGAAAAGCCCACAATTGTGCCGTGATGCTGTATAAACAGAAGCGCCTCACAATTTTTACCTTGAGAGAAGTTATAGAAACAATTGTTTCTACTTCTACTTTTCCCAGATGTTCTCCACACAGCAGAGGTACATGGTGGGCGACCAAGAGCTACAAGCCATCAAATGGGTGCTGGAGGAAGAGCACCTGTGGTTGCAGGGGCCTACCAACCCGCTCACTATTTGGACTGACCACCACACATAGACATTATACACATCCAGTCCGCCGTCAACTCAACCCTCCCAGACTCGGTGGGCATTGTTTTTTGAGCCACACAACTCCCTCCTGGCGTACCAGCCTGGCACCAAAAACCAGAAAGCCCATGCCTTGTCCCACCGCTACACTCACTCGACCCTTACCCAGGACTCCTCTCTGAGCCTGCCCAGTGATTCCTAGCCTCACTCCACTGGCCTCTCAGGGAGCTCATGTTTGCTCCCACAGGCCAAAAACATGCATGTTTAGGTTGACTGACAACAGTAAATGCACTTTTTAATTAGCTTCTGGTCCTGTGAGTGAGTGAGTGAGTGAGTGAGTGAGTGAGTGAGTGAGTGAGTGAGTGTTATGAGAACACTGTTATTTCTGTTTTTCTCAGTGGCGTGTTTGCATTTTTCACAATAGTTGCACAACAGGCAGGCGCGCAGATAGGGTGGGGGACGGGGGGGATATGTCCCCCCAGATTCAGATCGACCCCGATTCGTCCCCCCAACTAAGGCCAGAAAGAAAACAAAATCGGAGATTAAGCACATGAAGCTCCTTTTTCCAATTATATTGAATGCATCATGACGCAATAAACACCGACTCCAGAGGCGCCAAAGTGGTTGCTGCTAGGATGCAGGATGAAGCGAAAAAGACAAGCAACGATTACTGCGTATTTAAAAAAGACCAACAGTGTAAGTAGGCGGGACCGATCTGTCTGTTTATGCGTGTTGGTTCTAGTTTCAGTACGTTGTTGTCAGTGTTGGGACATACTCGTTATAAGTGCCAAAGCCTCATTGTTGACTTTAACAAGTCTCATCTACAAATATGATCCCTCATGAAGTTACTACTTTACATCAGAAGATAGTGGAGATGTGGAACCTTCAGGCTGAGCAAAGTTTGGGAGTTTTTAGAGCTTGAAAATCGCCTCCTGCCGTGAGGCTCCCAGTCGAGGAGAGGAGGAGATGTGTGCAGCATGAAGAGCGCAAATATTAGATAAAATGTATAACTGCTGGCAGGTCTGGTCTTTGTTGACTGATCACTTTTTCTGGTAATGACTGACTCTGATTATGAAGCAGAATATTGACTCTGATGAAGAAATTCACTCATCCAGTCGGGAAGATTGACGCTGCTGCAGCATCCGACAGCTGGTGCTGCACGAGAGGTGTGTGGAGTTTACAAGCTCCAAACGTTGGGTTTGATGTTGGTTTAACCTTCTTTGGGATGTGATGGATGTAGAAACTATGGTAAAACACCGCTAACGTGATAAACGTAGCGACAATGTAAAAAAAAAAGCCGTAAAAAGGGGCAGATGGCGATGAGTTCAGTATGGAAGACAAGTGTGTCACATAATCATAAAAAAAGTAAAATATAAAATTTAAAAAGAGATTTATATATTTATATATAAATAAAAACTTTCCAAATATAATGAAAATTTCTAACTATTGTAAAATATGAAGGACCATCTGTTGGTCAGGCTGAAAAGTTTGGCAACCACTGCTCTGATAAGAGAATATCGTTTTTCAATATATTTTATGTGCAGTTTTTTAGGGTTTTTATGTTTTCTGTAAAGATCGGTATGCTGAAAATCATTTAACGTTTTGCATAAAGCATGAGGTTTTGGTTAGTAATTGATTGGGAGAATAACAAATGACTGAATTAAATAGTGGGGTGCCTCTGTCAGTGCACCCCAGGGCAGCTGTGGCTACATCGTAGCTCATCACCATCAGTGTGTGAATGTGTGTGAATGGATGAATGATACACTGTAGTGTAAAGTGCTTTGGAGTCCTTAGTCTTAGAGGCGCTATACAAGTGCGGATCATTTATCATTTATAGTGTTGATCAGGCAGAGCTTTGTTGCACAGCCTCCAACAATTCTCCCTGCATGAACTAATGAAGCAGAGGGAAGAACAAGATACTGATATGTTTCATGTATGTTCTGTTATCACTTCTGTGCTCTTTGCTGTTCTAATTTCATCACAGCATTATCCCAAAGTAAAGTTACCCTAACCTTATTTACAGCAAACAAGCATAAATCTTCTTGGTAAGGCTGTGCACAACTGTAAACAACATCACAGTACATATTGGAAAACAATTGGAACCAACATCAGTTTCTGCTTTTTTCCAGGAGTCAAATATTGTCTTCAGTTCTAGCAAAGAAATTTTTCAGTCTGGGAAACTTGTCTTTCACAAAAATAACAAAAAAATAGAATGAAATTGATCACTTTTCCACAGTAGTTCAACTTTTGTGTATATATAATATCTCAAGCCATAAAACAAAGACTGTGTTTCATCAGGAATCACTAGTCAGTGTTGAAAAGTGGTTCGTCATTCTGACAGACATGACAAAGCAAATAATAATGTTAACAAACTGCAGAGAAAGTAAGTGATGCATGCCCAAAAGTATTTGTCATTTAGTTATAGAAAGGAAAACATGCTGATATGATGCAGAAAGAACTACATTATGAGGAATTTGAATCAAGCTATGAACATTTTTATTCCGTTGTGAGGAATGCACCAAAGTTAATGAGTAAAAAACCTGAAACTGACTTCTAGGGCAATACAATTTGATTAACCATCATCATCATCATCATCATCATCATCATCATCATCATCATCATCATCATCATCATCATCATCATCACCTTATTTTATTTATACAACATTTTCCCTACCAAACAAGATAGACTAAAGTGCTGCACGCTACACATAATAAAAGCAGATGTGTGCACTAACTCACACACCGCACCAGAAGGCAGTGTTGTTTCTGTTTTGTTCAATCGTGAAAATAACACACCACCCATCAGAATGTACTTTTTATTTATTTAAACATAATACAGAATAAAAAGTTAGTAACTGTCACTAGTTTTCCAAAACATTTATTTTTTCATCCATTTCAAATTTGTATCATGCAGGTTAAGAATCCTTTAGAAATTAATTTTTAAGAAGGAAGCTGTGTGGTCTCTTTTCTCTCATTGTTACACATCGTTTACTGTCAAAACTGAAATGTGAGTCAAAGTGACAAAATCACATACAGAGTTAGTATAGTTATTTTTATTTTATTTTAGGTTGTTTTATTTATTTTTTAGAGAAATTAGTCTAAAGCAAGTACTTTATTAGCATGGCAGTACTATGGGGAATGAATAATTTCTCAGGTAATCCTGTCAGCTGTGAAATAGTCCCATGTACAGTTCAATATTAAATGTGGTGTGATTAGCCAGGTATCCTGTTTATCAGAAATGCATTAAAGTATTTTTAATGATGGAGTTAATCCACACTATGTAGTCAGGGATCATGGTATACCTAGCCAATCGACTTCCATCTGAGTGTTGTCCTGATAACGTAGAAACGACACCATAGGCCTTCCCATCACAGACCAGTGGACCTCCAGAGTCCCCCTGAAAAGAAACACAGTAAAGCGGCCAGGTGAAATGGGAAGTAGGGCTGCTGGTAGTTTCTGGTTTGTCACTGTTAAGTTTTAAATACCTGACCCGGTCCTGTCTTGTCCTTTGAGCAGTAGAACTTCATCTTTGAACAGTTATTAACATCATCATTAATCACTGTTACATTGACTTCCTTAAGTATGTTGGTTATATATTGGTTATTCCAGCTTGTCACTCCCCAGCCAGAGACAGAACACGATGATGGCAGAGATCCAGCGTCCTGGTCGGCCAGACTGATGGTTTCCACAACGTGGTTGATCTTCACCTTGGAGCTGAACTTTATGGGCAGTATAAAAATGTGTGATTTACTGCAGCATCTTTTCTAAATTAATTACCGTAGTACATATTTTCCCAACCAAACATATATCCAATAGTTGGTCAAGTTACTTCAAAACTGTAATGCATTATTTATTACTTGTTACCCTCATTTTAAAGTAATTGATTACATTACAGTATTACTGATTTGTAAATGTAAGGCATTACACAACTTTTGCAAATTTTTTAGTGCTTAGATTTGCAGGAAATATTCATTAGCATCAACGTATCACATCATGTTCTCTCTTTTATCATTATTCTTAAAATTAATTAAATTAAAGACTAATAAATAAGGCATCTTCTTACTTTTAGGATCATGATATCGTTAACATGAGAAGAGTCGCTGTAATTCTGATGGGGAAATGCTTTTTCCACAAATATTTTCTGGACACTTTTATCTGAATCTCTTGTGCTCGTATCGTGGACTCCAACCCAAGCGGTGTACTTCCTGCAATGAAAACAGTCAAATATTTCACTTTTAAACTGAAGTTTAGTTTTAATAAAATGCCCATCTCTGTAAAAGGTCAGAATCTGAGCATGTAAAACTGACTCGGCTTGGCAGTGGGCAGCAGTCATCATGAAATCTTCACTCAGTAGGAATCCTCCACAGTATTTTTTTTCACCGCCTTCCATGATCTTCTCCAGAAACACCATGTACGGCCTGCTATGTGGCACAGCCTCACAGCCTCCAACAATTCTCCCTGCATGAACTAATGAAGCAGAGGGAAGTGTTTAGAATGGATGTATGCACAGAAACAGCTTTAAAAGCACTTCTGACATTTTGCTCACCAACAAGCGTTTTAAGTTTTTATTTACTTCAAGACACAGAAGCAAACGTGAGTCATCCCTTCATTAGTAGGTAAATGGCCTGCATCTCTATAGCACCTTCTTAGGGTTCTACAACCCCCCAAGGCACTTCACAACACAGTCATTCACCCATTCACACACACATTCACACACTGGTGATGATGAGCTATAATGTAGCCACAGCTGACCTGGGGCGTACTGAGGGAGAGAAGACTGATGAACATAGGCACTACCAGTCCCTCTGATCACCACCATGCAGAAAAGATGGGTTAGGTGTCTTGGGGCAGCAGTAGCTCAACAGGATGAGCGGTTTGTACAGTAATCGGAAGGTTGCAGGTTCGATCCTGGCTCCGGACAGAGAATTCTGCTGTTGTGTCCTTGGGCAAGACACTTAACCCACCTTGCCTGCTGGTGGTGGTCGGAGGGACCGGTGGCGCCAGTGCTCGGCAGCCTCGCCTCTGTCAGTTCGCCCCAGGGCAGCTGTGGCTACATCGTAGCTCATCCCCACCAGTGTGTGAATGTGTGTGTGAATGGATGAATGATACACTGTAGTGTAAAGCGCTTTGAAGTCCTTACTCTGAGAGGCGCTATACAAGTGCAGATCATTTATCAATGCTCCTGCGGGAGTGAAACCTTCCGACGTCTGGAGAACCCGCTCTACCTCCTGAGCTACTGCTGTCCTCAGACGCTAATTTGAATGTAGCTTCAAGGTTAAGTATTTGTCTAGTTAGATTTTCTTACCATTTAGATGCATCCTGTCTAATTAAAACTTCAAACTGAATGAAAGCATCACCTTACCTTGATTTTGAAGAATCAGCACCACTACCAGAACAGCCAGTCTACTGTACCCCAACATGGTGAAATCACAGACCAGCTGAGCTGCTGCAGCAGAAATCTCTGACTGCTTCCTTCACACGTTCAGCCCTAATATAAAGAGTAAAGTAAGCATTTCATTTGCATACGCTGAGGAAGTGGCTTTCATGACTGTTACATCTGACGGATGAATCTGATTGTCAGACTTCATGAACTGAAGGATAGATGGGGGTGTAGCTGAACAGTGGTTGTGTTTGTGAACACATGCATGCAAGTGCGTGCTTGATATGTTTCAGGTAAGTGAAAATGTGCTCAAAACACCTTCAGTATATCAGTTTGAAAGGTTGTTAGTTAAATGATAAATGACCTGCACTTGTTTAGCACCTTTCAGAGACCCCAAAGCGCTTCACACTACAATGTATCATTCCTCCATTCACCCACACATTGACACAATGGCGGTGATGAGCTACAATGTAGCAACAGCTACCCTGGGGCACACTGACAGAGGCGAGGCTGCCGAGCACAGGCAACACCAGTAGAGCAACATATAGAGTGGAAAGGTCTGGCGGGCCGGATGTGGCCCGCGGGCCGTCAGTTGAGTTTCACTGGCCTGAAGTACATACAAATGCACGTTCAGCTATTAAACTGAACCAAAACCTTTTGCTAGAACCCTGTACACACGTACAAGTAGGGATGGGTACCTTTGACATTTGAATCGATCCGGTACTAATTCCCGGTACCTACGAATCGATACCAGTACTTAACAGTACCAATTTTCGATACTTTTGAGTGTCTAATATTTTAATTCTCTTTTATAATTAGATATATATTTTTCTCAATTTATGATAAATATCATGATAAATAACATTCAACTGTTTGTATTTTAACATTGTCCTTGTAGTTTTATAAGCTGATAATTAAACTGAAGCAAACATCTTTACTGTGAACCAAATTCACTGTGTATCTTCATTCCTTTTGCCGTCTTTTTTCATTTGATTTTTCCTACTGGGAAGTTAGAATTTCCGAGGAGAAAGCGAACGCACCATTAGCTGATAACAACGGTGGCAATGGAAGATATCAAGCTAACATTATCTTAAACAGTTTATTTAACTGCTGGAGCAGATTAAAACAATGATGCCTCACACTTAGATCGTTGTCACTGGTTTCATCTTCACCCAATCACCCGTCGCATTTAGTAAAGTGAAGCCAAACTTTAGAGCGCGTTCATGTTCTTCTAGTCGGAGTTTCGGAGTTCCGAGGAGAAAGCGACCGCACCATTAGTGAAACGGAAGCTAACAAATCAAGCTAATGCTATCTTAAACATTTTATTTACCTACCGGAGCAGATTAAGATGAGGATGTCTCAGATCGTTGTCGCTGGTTTCATCATCACCCAGTTACCCATCACATTTAGTGAAGTGGACCCAAGCTTTAGCTTTCGTTCTTTCTACCATGCTGCTCTGTTTACAACTGGCTCACAGCGACCGATGACATAACGCTCTTGCGCATGCGCAGCTGTCTAGGCAAGTTCTCGTTGTGAAGGACGGGTACCGAAACGAGGCACCGTTTCAAATGAAGTGAATTGGTGCTCTGTCGGTACTGTGGAATTCAGTTGGTACCTTAAAAAGTACTGAATTCGGTACCCATCCCTATGTACAAGTGTGTATTTGTCTTTAGTGTCTGGGTTTGTTTAACAAAAGGTTCAATAGAATTAAGTTTCCTTTTTGAATATATTTCATGGTATTTGGTGTTTGGTTTTTTTAAAGCATTTTGATTTTATAACTATGTGTTTTGTTTTGTTCGCCACTTTGTGATTCTCTTTCTGTGATGAGTGCTCTATATCAAAATTCACTTACTTACTAATTATTAGAGGGTAAAAACGATGAGTACATTAGGGTGGACTGCAGGTATTGCTCAGCAGCAGTCCTTAAGGTCAAACAGAAAACCTGGAGCTCTTGCGCTAGTAGCAGTACACACACATAAATGAATAAAACTGGTGGAGGTGGCCGGGGAGAGGACGGTCTGGAGCTCCCTAGTTGAGATGCTGCCCCCGCGACCCGGACCCGGATAAGCGGAGGAAGACGACGACGACGGCTACAAAACTCCCATCATTCATAAATGTTGTTTTACACATTGGCCTCTCCCCAGGAGCTATCATTGTGCTTTTTATTTTTTGTTCTGCTGATGTAACACGAAGCTGTGATGTCTCTAAAAATGCAGAAAACACCCAATGCTCAATTCTGCAATCAGAACGACTCTGCAGAGCCTTCTTACCTGCAGCAGCTTAGCCTGGATACCACACCAAGAGTCAGAATATGGAGATTAGCTTGATGAACACTTGGTAGGACTTTACTAGCAGCTTATTTCCTCAGAAAGCATACCATGCTTACCATAGCAGATTATGACGTGTTGGATGGAACACTCAGTGAAAGCTCAAAGCTTTTTCTTCATTAAGTCAACTGTGACAAGTAAAAGAAAAAAGAAATAGGCACACGCTGTTTTATAGTGAACATTCTTGAATTACTAATGCATGATAGTGCTTTTGTGAAACAGGAAAAGTGGTTTTCTTAACGCAGCTCTCATGCTTTGGTGCATTTGTATGTGTGCAGGTTTGAAACAAACCGGGAGTTCACATGATTGGTAGAAACATTAGATATAGAAAAAAAAGCTTTCATAAAAGCCCCTATTCCCACTGCAGATTAACATTTCTCCAACGTTAACTTTGGCTTCTCATCTGAAAGTCTGTCCTACCGCACTGATCACAGCTTCAGGATACTAGCTTGTGTGATCTGATGCTGATTTATCTTACTTCTGCTTGTTTGACGGTTTCCTGTGAATAAGTGATCGACATCTGATGTGTCACGTAGTTTGCTTGCTCTCTAACATGAGTTGTTTTCTCACTCACTGTGAGATTCAGCTGCCAAAAGCATAGAATGAGGACATATCAGTAATCTTTTTTATTATTTCATATAACACAGATGGACATTAAGGTTGTGGAAATCAGCCTGTCTCATCAGGAACCAAATATTGAAAGTGGAAAAAAAGGAGAGAAAGAATTTTTGAACGACTTTAACTATGGGTGATTTTTTTTCTTGTGCTGAAACTATTTAAATCCAAAAAACACATGCTGTCTGTTCACTTTGGACATGGAATTCATATTTAGATGTATCACATTTAAACCAGTCGAATGAGAAAACAGGAATTCCATGAAAACGGGTCTCATTTTTGATGAAAAAGGCATACCGGCTGAAAAGCTTCTGTGGTTTAAATTGCTCTTCAGAGGCACTGAAGTGAGGAAATGGTAAAAAGTAACTGATCATCACTATGTAAATCACATGATCTCTTTAGAGTTGTTTGTATTACCTTTGTGACTAATTTTTGCAATTATTGTTTATAATTAAGGTGGTAAAGATCTAATTCCTTATCTTCCCGTAAACAAACCAAATACTCATGCTACACATGCTAAACTCTAGGACAGCAGATTCTCACTACACAGGGAAAATTCCTAATTATTTAAACGTTGTGCTAAATAAAACTAAAATATCTCAAAAAGTAAACATCATACATGTCATATTTTGGCATTTTGAGAGATGAAGCTGAAGAGTTTGATGTGTAATGTGTGCATAGTATGTAAAGGTTTGGTCACCACAGGAGTAAAAAAACCGATACAGCTTCCATTAATCTCCTGAACCTGTAGATTTTTTTTACCATTCTTTTATTACACTTTTTATACTTATAAAGTATGCTTATGGATATGAATGTGTAGGTATGTATTTGTATATATATATATATATATATATATATATATATATATATATATATATATATAGAGAGAGAGAGAGAGAGAGAGAGAGAGAGATAGATAGATAGATAGATAGATAGATAGATAGATAGATAGATAGATAGATAGATAGATAGATGTGTGTGTGTGTGTGTGTGTGTGTGTGTGTGTGTGCGTGTATTTATGCATTTATTCTACTATTTTTACTTTAATGTTTTATTTTATTTTATGGTAATTCAATGCTTGTGCTTTTTTCCTGATAAAGGAAAGCATTCTCATTTATTGTTGTACGTTGTATGTTTTAGAGAGCAAACATCTACTGGTGATGTGTCGGTCACGAACGAACCGGCTCTAAGAGCTGGCTCTATGAAGTGAACGACGGGAGCCGGCTCGCCATTGGGAGCCATCACCCTCCCTCCCCTCCCCCTCTTGCTTTGGTGAAAGCCACAGGCGATTGGTCAACATGTGTAATTGTGTGTCCAGACCATCCACACACAGAGCAGTAGGGGCGGGGAAGAGGGAGGATCAGACTCAGACAGACACACAGCAGAACACATGCGGGCGGAGGGAGACGAGAGGGAATGAGGAGGAGGAATAAGGCGAACGAGAGAGATGAGAGTGCGGCAAAGACGGTGAGAAAATGAGCGACAGCAGTCGGAAAGTAAAGATTTCTTAAAGTGTTCAGTAAATAAATCCATATAAATGATAAATATTAGATATATTGCATTTTTTTACATTAGTAAATCATTTTACATATAGTTTTGCATTATTTTTGGTGATAAATATACTTTACGCAACAGAAAATCTGAGGAGCCACTTGAGAGCCGAAAGAACCGGCTCTTTTTGGCAAGCTGAGCCAAAAGCGCCGGAATTCCCATCACTTACGTCTACTGAAGCTAAATTCCTTGTAAATGTAATTTTACTTGGCCAATAAATCTGAAATCTGAATCTGAATCTGATACCGATATTTTCCGTTTTTACATATTAAGGCCAATATCGGCCAATGCATTTAAGTTTTTATGTTTGATCTGTTTCAAAAATCCAGTCATGAACTTCCTCCAGATCAAACATTTGGGCTAAACTTTGAAAAAGACAAAGTCAGATTACCATTAAAACAACATTTAAAAACCATTTTCAAAAACTGATTAAAATATGTATTAAATGACAAAAAAATAAAATTAGCAATTAAAATTAAATTTAAGGAAAGGGAGAGAGAAAATAAACCCTTTGATGCATGAATTATGAAATCTTCTACTATGATTTTTTAAACAATTTTTTTCATTCATCTTTAGGTGTGAATGAAACAAATTTCATATTTACATATTTTTGTAACTTTTAATTTACAAATAATTTATTACATGTCCACCTCAGTGGACAGCGTGCATTCTGAACATGAAATATGTTT